TTTTGACCACTTTTCCTTTTGCAGAATCAGTCTCTTCAGGTGTGGTCCTACCGTTTGCATTTCCTTCGGAGACGCTGTTGTCTCCCCAGTTGGTGATCAGGCCAGGTTGGATGCAGACCATTATCAGGCGTCTCCTTGATCTCAACTGTGAGAAAACTCTTGGGCTAGGGGACAGCTCCCTCTCCCAGAGCCTCAGGGGTCAGCAGTTTCTGCCTTTCCTTCCCTGACCTCGGGCTGGGACCTCATCAGAAAGGAGGATGCGCATAAGTTCTTGGTAACTATTTTAATTTAAGGGAGGACATTTGTCAGCTGGTTGTGCCCTTAAAATTCCTTACATGTTCCTTTTGTCCTCTGGGGTCCTCACACTCACAGGACGAGGATTTCATCTTGTGCTCCTTGATTTGAAGAGGGAGGCTAGCCTGCTGGTGCCCTGGATGGCATCTCCACTAGAGAAAATAAGTAATCTGGATTCCTGAACCAGGAGAGATGAGGGGCAGTCTTACTCTGATGAACTGAGACGGATTTTCTGCTCTTCTTCCCGCTAGATGAGGGGAGTATAGGAGAAGCTGCGTCCCGTGAGAGTCTAGAGAAGGTCTTCCACCGAGGGGGAGATTGCTGGTTCCTGCTCTGGGGGTCAGTGAGTCACCTCTTTCCCAAAGACCTAGGGTCAGACGGAGATTTCATCTCAGGGTTCAAGACCCCATCAGGCCAAGTCAACCAGAAACACAGGGACAGAGAGAGGTCGATATTTTGTACCCCTGAGGGCTGTCAGGGTCCCACTCGGGACCTGAGACTGTCACGCCACACCAGGGAGTGGCCGCAGCCTGCTGCCCTCCTGGGTCCCCCACACGACATTTCTCCCACAGAAAAGGAACTGAAGCAAGTCAGGACTGACCTTCCCAGCCCCTGGGAGAAGGAGGTCAACCCACCTCTTGATGTCTGACCACAGGATGACATCAGATTCCAAGTCCCCACGGCCATGGCAACTCTGGGCCAGGATGATGGGTCCTGATTGGATTCCCCACGGTACCTTCTTACTGTTCTGGTTAGGAGGAGCTAGCCTTATCTCCCAGAGTTTCAGGATCTGGTCACAAGTCTCCTCCTTCAGGGAAACCTGGGCTCCTCTTATCATCATTATCTTGGGCCTGTGTTTCTCCTGCAGGAAAGAGGCCGCTTGCTGAGGAAGGTGACGTATCCTGTGCACAGAGACCAGGCAGGGCTGCAGGTCAATTGCTCCTTGGAAAAGAAAGCCTGTGGGGGCCAGCATATTGGGCCCATTTGATAGATTTATTAGGGTTTTTTTTGGGGGGGTGGGTACCAGGGATGGAATTCAGGGGCACTCGACCACTGAGCCACCACGTCCGCAGCCCTGTTTTGTATTTTATTAGAGACAGGGTCTCACTGAGTTGCTGAGTGCCTCTCTTTGGCTGAGGCTGGCTTTGAGCTCACGATTCTCCTGCCTCCATCTCCAAGCCACAGGGACTACAGGCGTGGCCACTGGGCCTGGCTTGATGGTCTTATGATACACAACATTCAGCTCTGATGGTGTCACAGATGTCCTCATGAGCTGTAGTTAAGACGTCTAACACCATTTGATTCTGGCATCACCTCTGTGTCGAGTAGAGATCCCTCTATCTGTGTCTGTGAGGGCTTTTTGGTAAAGTCAGTTAGGACTTTTGTGTGCCACAGTACGTTTTTTAGCCTAATCAAAGGGATAAATATTGGGGCTAGATAATCACACTTGCAGACACAGATTGCCCATGTAGAAGTTTAGGAAGATTTGCAGGTTTCAAATTGACTCAGAAAAAAAGCTGTGATCTGAGAGTCGAATGTGGCAGGCACTCCTGTGGGACCTTCCTGTGCGGCTTCCAGCTTTGTGACTTCTGGTGGGAGTTCTTCCACTATTTCGGGAGCGATAGATGAAGAAGAGGGGTGGGGGTCAGGACCTGGATCTCGAGGGCCTATGGAGCAGGGAGTCATCGAGAAGCAACTGTAGAGCAGAGCAAGGTTGGTGAAAGTGGAAGAAAGCTTGGAGATAAGGAACCTCAGGTCGTCTGCCATTTCGTTGGAGGAAATTGTCTAAGTCTTGGAGGATTTTGGGGTCAAAGTTCCCAATTCCCAATTCAGGCCATTGACGAGGTTGTCTAATTTAGATGTGGTCAGATCTATGTACACGGCCTAATAAGGCATTTGCTTTTGAGTTCAGATTGAAGGTGGAGGAGAGAGAGAGAGAGAAATGGGAGGGAAATATGAAACAGCGGGTAGAGCTTGTTAGGACAGGGAGGGGTAGAGCACCCCAAACTCCGTCCTGGGTTTCACCACCAATGAAAGAATTTTTTTTTTTTTTTTTTTTGTACCAGAGATTGAACTCAGGAGTACTCAACCACTGAGCCACATCCCCGGCCCTATTTAGAGACAGGGTCTCACTGAGTTGCTTAGCATCTCACTTTTGCTGAGGCTGGCTTTGAGCTCATTATCCTCCTGCCTCAGCCTCCCAAGTCACTGGGGTTACAGGCGCGTGCCACCATGCCTGGCTCAAACGAAAGAAATTAAGGAGAATAAAAAAAGGAGGAGAGGGGAGGCAGAATTGAACGGATCAGGGAAGCTTTATTACGCAGCGGAGGGGCACATTTTCAAGGGAAGATAGGAATGGCTACAAAAAGGGTCTGAGTTTCCTAGGGTTTGGCAGGGCCAGGTCACAGGAGGAATGCTGTTGGCAGCTGGTGGCTGGCTCATTTAGGGTGGGGTAGAAGGGCAGGTAGGGGAATTGTAGATAAGGGAAGTTCCCTGGGGCCTGTTTCCCTTTACTCCCTGGGTATAGGGGAGACTGGGGAACCCGGGGAACCCAGGGGCCCTTGGGAGACTGGGATCCCCACAGGTGCAGGTCCTACAGGGCCGGATCTGGAGCCTGCTGGCTCTGTCCCTCGGTGCCCATGGCTTGCAGCATCAGCCTCCGCCCCTAAGGTTCCCAGGCTCTGGGGCTGGCTGGGTGGACGAGTCTGGAACAGGATGCTGGTGAGCCAACAGATTGTTCCTTTGGGCCCAAGAGGACATTCCCCATGATGACTAGTGCAAGGGCAGAAACCTAAATAAGTTCAGAGTTTAGCCCCAAAGACAGGGTCCGGTTTCCTAGCAGAAAAACAGCTCGAGAACCCCTAAGTCGTCCTAGAAGAACCCAGAATGACTTCAAGGCCCACAGCCAAGGAAGAGAGGAGCCTGCGCGTGCCCTGCAGAGGATGTGCCAGGGGTGGAACAGACTTTGAGTCCGAGCATTCCCTAAAAATTCGTTTTCCGTTTACCAGGAGAGGCAGAGCAGTGGAGACTTGTGTTCAGGGTAGAAGAGGACAAAACACCTGGGCATGGAGACTGCAGAGAGGGGTCAGTCCTCCCAAGTCCCTTCACATGGGGTGCACTCGGGAAGACCTGGGCGCCGTGCAGCCAACACACCAGCAGGGGGCACTGGCCCACCAGAGTCCTGGTGCTGCTTCCTGTGCAGGTGGAAATGAGAGCGCCCCCCCCCCCCCAGCGTGTGCTTAGCATGTGCAAGGCCCTGGGTTCAACCCTCAGCACTGGAGAAGAAAACGAAAGAAGAGAGAACGATGTAAAAAGGGAAAATGAATTTAATCACAATTTGGCCCAAACTGGGAAGACAACGCATCTGCTGGCCCTGTCCTATAGAAATGTCACCGTTATAAGGACAGAAAGCCAGCAAATACCCATTTGTAGATGTAGCCTGCTGGGCTGCCCAAGGAGCAGCTGCAATTCCAGTTTTCACTGGGACTGTGGCTGCTGGCTCTGGGCGCCAGGCCCCAGGCAGGGTCCCCCTGGGGAGCCTGGGGAGACTGGGGAGAGCAAGGCCTGGCAAGTCTGTGTGGTTCCAAGAGCACAGGGGGACTTCCCAGTGGGTGGGTGCTTCTCAGTTAGTTTATCACACTTGTTTAAGGATCAGCATGTGGGAGGTTTTAAAAAGCAGTAGGTGTGGTAGACTCGAGCCAGGGATGTCCCCAGGCACAACCATCCTCCCCAGGGGATCAGCGCTGGCCAGCAGGCACCTGTCCCTCCTCCCACCTCCTTCCCAAGGGCTCCTGCAGCAGGTCCAGGTATGGGGCCACCTGGCATCTCAGACTAGGAGCCCCCCATCTTGATCCTGGGGCCCCTGGCAGCAGGGTCCACAAAACTTATTTCTGCTTTTGGTCAAGACAGGTGTGTGCCCACGGTCCACTTAAGCCAAGGCTGGAGGTCCCCTGGCTTGCTCTGGGGTCTCTCAGGGAGTGGGGAGCCCCTGGAGCACAGGGGCTCAGCAGCAGGAGAGGAGCCAGGGCCCCCTTGATAAGCAGCAGAGGCAGGGCAGATCCTGTCAATCAGAGGCTGTGAATTTGAGATTTTCCATGTTTGGACAGAGGTGAGGCAGCAGAGAGGGCGGAGACCACAGGGGCGGGTCTCTGCTGGGTGGGAGGGATGGAGAGGACTGTGCAGGACACGCTCCTCTCACTGTGGCGCTGGAGGAGCTCCTGGTCTAGGTGAGCTCTGCTGGGCTCCAGCTGGCCCCTCTCTTCTGGGGAGAGAGGCAGAGTGAGGGCCGGGCGAGACCCTGGTGCCATGCAGACACTCAGGGATGACACAGGCACACTCCAGCCACACAGCGCTGCATCTGCAGGCGTGCATGCCCCTGCACACACGTGCACACAAGCACACACACATGGGCACACACATGCATGCACACACAGAGCCCAGGCCGGGTTCTGAGCCCAGCAGAGTTGAACCCACTTCCCCCTGGGCTCAGAGAACAGGTCTGTCCCGGAGTCTTGGGAGGAGCAGGGAGACCACCCACCTGCTGCTTTCCTGGGTGTCCAGAGGACAAGTAAGGGTCTGGGGAAATGCGGCCTGGGAGCCCCACTGTGTCCCAGAGCCACAGGGGGTGCAGGACGGAGGGGCCCACTGCCCAGTACAGGCCGCAGGGAAACCTCCGCCCTGCCCTGGACCACATGGAGGCCTCTTACCTGCACCAACTTCAGAGAACGTCGGCGCCAACACCAGCCAAGGGAGCCCACTGCCAGGATCAAGAGAAGGACAGCAACCAGCGCCCCCACCATGGACTGGGGCGTGGCCTGGGACCTGGCTTGCAGCCTCTCTGAGCCTGGGACCTGGCTGGCAGTGCCTGGGAAGGACAGGTGGGCAGAGTCACCTCATCGCTGGTCACCCCACGCATCACTCACTGACTCACTGGCCACAGAGGTGTCCCCCCCGCCTCCTGCCTGCCCACCCCACCCTCCTGGGCAGGGACATCACTGGGATGAGGGAGGCTGGTAGGTGGCCCAGGGGCCCTGGGGTGGGCCAAGCACTGAGGAGCCAGGGAAGGGTGGTAGCTCAGGGACAGGGACGCAGCACCTACCCCAGGGCGGTGTGGACGGCCTCAGGCCTGCTGCCTCCTCCTGGTCTTGAGACTCTGCTGGGGAGACACTGTCAGGCTGGCACAGAGCCCTGATGTCCCTCTACCTCTGGGGCAGAGCGGGGGTAGGGCTCCCTGGGTCCCCTCCAGGGGCCAGATGACAGACACTGCCAGCTGGCTCAGGTGACAGGATGCATTAGACCAGTGGGGGGCATGGGGACCTTGGATCTTGTCGGGAAGGAAAGGATGAGGGGGGCAGTGGGTTTAGGCTGGGAGGGGCCTGAAGGGACGCACTCAGGACACCTGCGGGCCCTGTGAGGCCTGGGGGGCCCTGTGGTCCCTTCTATTTGTGGACAACTGAGGGAGCCGGTGGGGGAGGGAGGCAGGTGGGGGAAGGGAGCAGGTGCTGGGCGGGTGTGTCTGAGTGAGGACAATCCGGGGTGGTAGTGGTCTGAGGAGAATCTGCCCTTGTTATGGGGACCGGGTCCAGGGTGAAGCTGTGCAGCGGGCACGCTGGGCGCGGCAGGTTTGGAGAGGGTAGGACAGCGCACAGGAGCCGGGGCCAGGGACTCTTTTGCTTGCTGAGTCTGGCCAGGACTCAGGCCTGCGCCTGTGGGTCTGTGCCCCTGGACTCTGCCCTCTGCTCTGCTCCTCCTCCTTGGCCGCTGCCCCTCCCAGTGGGGAGCCCCCTGCTGCCCCCAGCCCCTCCCCATGCTCCGCCCCTGGCCCACCCTCCCGCTTGGCCCTGGCTCTGGCCCGCCCCGGGCCACCTCACCTGAGACGTTCAGATACGTGGCTCTGTTGGTTCTCTGGAGCCCTCGCAGATGCCACTCGTATTGTCCCGCGTGGGCGTCCTGGGCGGCTGTGATCACCAGCTGGGCCTGGCCTCCGTGCACATGGAGTGTCCAGCCATCCTTGGAGAAGAGTCCCGGGGGCCGCTCCTTGAAGATGGTCACGGTCTTTCCGTGGGCGCGCAGCCAGATGGAGATGCCGGAGAAGGCGTTGGAGATGTTGCAGGCCATCACTGCCCGCTGGCCCCTGGGCACGGACACCACGCCCTCTGTACAAGAGGGGCTGTCCCAGCCTGTGTGGAGGGGAGGGTCACACTGTGGGCAGGGCGGGGCCTGGGCGGGGCAGGGGTGGTGTCAGCGCCTCCAGGGACTCTACAGGTGACTCAGGCTAGGATAGGGTCCATCAAAGCCCACAGAGCTGGGGTGGCAGTCAGACACACACCGCAGGGAGGGAGGCCGTGTGCCAGGCGTGTGTGCCACCAGCTGGTCACTGGGCAGGAGGCAGCTGGTCAGTTAGATGTTCCTGCAGCTCCCTGCCCTGTGCAGTGCCACCAGGCGGAGGCACTTTGTGGTGCCACCACCCAGGGAGGTCTTTGTGGTGTTAGGGTCTCCAGCTGCACCTTCTGGGGGATCTGACCCAAATTCTGCTGTCCCCATTGGCTATCAGAGTGGCCAGGACACTGGTGCCTTGGTGGCCCTGGGGGCATTTCTCTGCACAGCCAACCTGGCTCTGGAGAGCTGCATGGGGACTCCCTGGGGACCCTGTGCACTGCACCTCCCCGTCTAGTGTTCTGTCTGCTTGTCTAAGGCCCAGTGATGCTGAGGCTGCTGACCAGGGTGCCTCAGGGACCTTGCTGGCAGGTCCTCGGTCCTGTGGAGCCTCTCGTCCCCTGGCCATGGCACCGGCCCCAACTCTCAGGGATCCTCTTTGCCTTGGAGCCTGGACGTGGTCTTGGGCACCCCTGATGCTCCGGCAGTGGCCAGCAGGCATTGCTGGGTGCCTGCCCTGCTGTCCTGGGTGCACGGGGCTTGCCCTTTCAAGACCCAGGGCCTCCCGCTGGCTTCTCACCCATGGGCCTGGGTCTGCAGGGTCACAGTCGTCACTGGGGTGGGTCAGTTCTGGGCCTGACCTTGGTCTGCCCTTCCCACCCCTGTGTCCCCAGCCCTTCTGTGGCAGAGGGGCAGCGTCCCGATACCTACTTGAGTTCTGAGCACTCAGGGAGGCGACCAGCAGCAGGAGGAYCCCGAGCATGCTGGGAACGCAGGGCTGGGGGATGCRTCTGGGGGACGCAGAGGGCCAGGTCCGCATGGCTGGCTGATGGGGAGGCCTCAGGGGTCCCTGGTCCTGGATACCGGTTTCTGGGACACTCCCTGTGGAAGGGAGGGAGGGAGACCCAGGGGTAAGAGGTCCCCAGGTGGTCCCAGGCTGCAGGGAGCGGCCTCCACCTGGCCAGGGGCTGGGCAGCCCAGGGGCCAAGCTTCCCCTGGACGAGCTGTGCCCTCCATGCTTGAGCCTCCTCCCAGTGCCTGGGTCCCCAGCAGCCACCCTCCTTCCTGTCCCTGTGCTTCATGACGTGCGAGGCCCTGGCCACAGGAACCCAGGGAATCACAGGAAGACAGGAGAACGTCTGTCCCCTGGACAGCGGAGCTGGGTGGTCCCCTGCAGCTGGCCTGGAGTTGCTGCATTCAGAGGGACCACCCACCTGCGTGTCCTAGAGGGACACAGGGAGCAGCTCACAGCCAAGTGACTGATGCTGTCCTGAGAGCCCCTGCCCACCCAGCCAGTGTCCACAGCTGTGTGATGGGCCAGAGTCTGGACCTCCGTGGACACAGGTCCTGCTGGCCAGGTTTGTCACTCTCAGCACCTTCCAGGGGGAGCTCCCTGTATGAACTGGAAAAGTGTTTTTATTCTTTTTTCTTTATTACTCTTTTTTCTTTGGATTGAACCCAGGGGCACTTTACCACTGAACTATTTCCACCCCCTTTTTGTGTTTCTAGTTGTAGATGACAACACAATGTCTTTTCTATCTTATGTGGTGCTGAGGATCAGACCCAGTGCCTCCCACATGCCAGGCGAGGGCTTGACTGGTGAGACACAGCCCAGTCCACGTCCCCAGCCCTTTTTATTGGTTATTCTGCAACAGGGCCTCTCTACGTTGCTGAGGCTGGCCTGGAACTTGGGATCCTGAGCTGCTGGGATCACAGGCCTGTGCCCTGGCTCCTGAAATGAGACCCACCAACACAACTTGCAGGGTTCAGTGGGGTCAGAGGCCAGTTGGCCCGAGTATGAGTCTGTTCTGATCAGTCTGGAGCAGTGAAAGGTGATCTTCCCCAGTGGAAAGCGCCTTGGTGGGGGCTGGGCTGCGGCTCAGAGGTAGCGCTCTCACCTGGCATGCGCGGGGCGCTGGGTTCGATCCTCATAAAAATAAAACATAAATATATTGTGTCCACCTAAAAATACTAAAAAATAAATATTAAAAGAAGAAGAAGAAGAAGAAGGGCGGAGAAGCCGTGGCTTAGCAGACATTCTAACCCACCTGGAAGCCACTCACGAAGGGCAAGTGGCAGGTTCACTCCTGCCCTCTCCCTGAATGGAAGGAGGATGTGCTGAGGCTCAGAGGGGGCCTCTGCCAGCGCCTCGTCCCAGCAAGCAGCTTGTCATCTGCCTTAGCCCCTGCAAGGGAGGCCCTGTCCCCTGGGCCTGCCTTAGGTCATCCACACCATCCTGAACCCGCTTTCTCTGAGATCCAGGAGTTTGGCGATGGGCTGCCCGCCCTGCCAGGCCCGTCCTGAGTGTGAGAGCGCCTGATCCATTTGAGGCTCCCTGTGAGACGGTGAGGATGGGCAGGAGCAGCCCACAGTGTCAGCCCAGGAAGGGGCGTGGCAACACCCCAGCACCTGAGATCAGAGCTGCCGTCCCTGGGACAGTGTCACAAACACTCTCCCCGCCTTGGCAGGCTCAGCCAGGACCAGGTGCCCAGGGGGCATGCAGACTGGTCAGGGGTTCAGCCCCCACAGCCTTCTTGCTGCTCCGGTGTCTCCTGCTCAGCTGCCCGGTCCTGCTTCAACCAGAACATGCAGGGGACCTCCTGGGAGGAGTCTGCAGAGCCGGGCCCTTCCCCAGGGCCTGCCCTCCCCTCCAGCTCTGGAAAGACCTGGGTCGGCCTGATGCCCTTCTTGCCCTCTCTGGCTCCTCACCTGGACCCTCCCCAGAGACCTGGGGCTGGAGGTTGATGGTGAGGGAGGAGCCCCTGGGCTCTCACTGTCCGTGCCACGGCATATGTGGGTGCTGGGCTCTTCACAAGCCTGGGGCACAGCCTGCCGTCTCCCCTGGGGCCCTGGTGGGTCCTTTGGAAGTCCACCTACTGGGCACCCCAGGTGTAGAGAATCAGAGGTAACTGTGTTACTATTACTGTCCTTGATGGAGTCTGCCTGCAAACGGGATATTCTGTCAAGGTATAGATCGGTAACAGCGGACATGCTTGAAAACGAGGTGTCTGCTGTCCTTGGGAGGACTTGCCTGCAAACGGGATGTTCTGCCAAGTGGGCTAGGAGGGCGCTGAGAAAAAATTTATTATCTGTTCTTAACAAAGAGCAGAGCTCAACATACTCCGGGCCGAAAGTAGATTAGCCATGAGAAGCGGGTCACTTCTGAT